TTAAAGAGAGTGGAATTAACTTGCAAAGCTGTCAGAAATATTTTAAAGACTAGTTTTCCTAAATCTATTATAGTCTTCTTCCTAGTCTCCAATCTTCGAGCATAACTCTCTCCCCTTGTTTTCCTACAATCCCCCTGAGTTGAGGATAGTATATGCATGAAATTTCACATATGTAAGTTATAAAAATTCTTTGAAAGCAGCCCTGTACATGACAGGCTTTTTTGGCTGAGCCATAGCAATGACTAAGCTATGGGAAAAGCCTCCATTCAGCTATACTGTAAAGGAAAATGTGGGTGGGGGAACTGGGCTTTCAGGGTCGAAGTCATTCAGCACTTGGGTGGCACTGTCGCAAAGAGGAAAGAGGAGGACTCAGTCTCGCAGGCCTGGGATGGGAGGTTTTTCAGATTTCCACTCTGCAGCCGTCCTTCTGGGGCTGGGCAGGCGACAGTGCAAGAGACGGTGTCATTATTTGACTCAGCATGTTCCTAAGCCACAAAAGAGAAGTGACGTATATAAAAAGCATGTTGCTCACTCTTATCTGATAAGAGGGATATCAAGGAGTTTTCTCCACTGCCTAGACACAGAGGAAGTTCTTCTTTGTCCTTATAGTTCACTTTCTCTGTCAGCATGTCTTTCTTCAAGCAATTATTGTGCCCTAAGAGCCTCTAACACAAACCAGAAGACTGGAGTTTTAGAGACAACATATCAACCGCCTGCTACCAAACTGCCAAATACCTCTTGTTCAGCTTCCCATTCTAATTACTCCACCAACTATAAAACTGATTTCAGATAATTTTAATGTATTTAAAGTAGGAATATCTCAGATGGAGCCATCTCACCTCACATGAAGTTGGTGGAGGCAAACCTCCACCAAATTTGAATTATCCTGCTGGAGCAGTAAATTAATAAAATCTGCCATATTTCTGTGATGCTTCTAGTAGAAAGTGACAACGTTTCACTTACTACTTACCGCCCAAACTGTTGTTATTATTGTACACCATTCTTTCACATAGTAGGTTTCACTGTAAAATATGCAGCAATCTTCACTACAATCACCCTTTCACATAAAGAACTTTTTATCGCCTCTAATATCATAAACTGCCTTTTGCAGTGCAGTGCTGTATAGGAAGGTTTGTTTTGTTAGGACCACAAACAGCTAATATACAATCTGTCCTCCATCAGCGAGGCTCTCCCACTTGGACTCAGTTTGCAAGATCGTTAAGTAAACCTAAAAGTGACAGGATAACCACAGCCTAACATAACAACTTTGTTTAAATACGAAGCTTGGGATGACTCAAACTCCTCAAAACAGGGCTCACCAGGCTTGAGCTTGGTTCAGTGGATTTAAAGCTGCCTTTCTCTGCCATTGCAATTTCTCTCCTTCCTAAAGTGACAAGATCTTAGGACTGTCCAGGCTAGTAACATGCTGAGTCTTATGATTATCTCCCTCTTCTGTTACCTGGATTTTAGCTCCAGAAACAGCACTGTTTTAAGACCTAGTCACTACATTAGACCCATAATTATTACAACTTTATGAAAAAACCCCAAAAGATCAAAATTAAAAACGGTTGTTAGCTACACAGGTAGCACATGATACTGCTGTGGAGTTGTAGGGTCTCATTCTGTGTGGCTGTATAGACCAGAACCAGTCTCTGGAAATGACTCCCAGAGACACAGTTATATCCAGAATGCCGTTATGCACACTCTTGTCCAGCAAATCACCAAGGACAAAGAAAAATGCAGTGTTACATCTATAATAGGTGAGGCATTTCTAATTGATATGATAAAATATTAAAGCCCCCGTACAATGTGGCTGTACAATGAGAGGAACCAATGCCCTCTGTGCTGCCCCTTCAAACCCTATGTTTCTGAAAATACATGGACAGTCATATTGTGCATTAACTGAAGTTCTTGAGTGGTACTGAATTGTTTGGTCAACGCAAACAATCTGCAGTGATATCTTTGCATGAACAACTGCCAATCATCTAATGAGGACACAGCTAACAGAGATGTACTTCACATCCAAGTGGAAAGCTTCCAACCTATCAACCAAGTAAAGATGCATAAAATAAAGGCTGACAGGGCTAGCACAATCACCTAGAGTAGCTGGGCTCAAATAAGCTTCTCAAAAAACTTCACAGTTGAAACACTGACAATAAAAAGCAGAAGTGGACATTATCACCAGCCGGCTCCTTGACTATTGATACTTCCAACAGCACGATCAAAAACTGGATTGAGACTACAATGCATGTTCATCCAAGTTATTAGTCAATAATCTAGAGAGAAGATAAAGGTTCAGTTCTGGTAAAGAGGAGCAGAGCTAAGTACCCTCTTCATCTAAAGAATACCACTCTCACAAATAATTGCTCCATCCTCTCAGCAGCCTCACAGAGATGTTAAACAACAGATTAAAAAAAACAATTTTGTAAAGCTTCACATGAATGGGAAGGGGAGATAAAAATAAGTGTTGGTCACCACATGGTTTCTCATACAAAATATGCAAAAAAAACAATTTTGTAAAGCTTCACATGGTTTCTCATACAAAATATGTTACTGATTTCCATTAATTAACCCTAGCTATAAATTAACACAACTTCTGAATAAAACCTGCTGAGATGCTCCCTACTTCCCAGTCCAGTCGGGCTGCTTATCTAAAATTATCACAAGACACGACCATTGAAATAAATTAAAAAAAAAATAAAAATCGCACTACCTTTTCATCAAAAATTAAATTTTAGACTATGTGGTAGAAAGGAGTGTTCTTTTTCTTTCATTTCATCAAAAATTAAATTTTAGACTATGTAGTAGAAAGGAGTGTTTTTTTTCTTTTGTATTTAATTTCTAATTTTTCGGATTTCGGTTTTACCAGGTGCGATCAGCTATCCTTTTCACCAGAAGAGATTTTGTGTGCGCATACGTGAGAGTGAGTGCGTTACGTGCATCTATATATACGCCTATAAAATCTGTTTAAGCTATCAATTTTCTGAAAGATTAAAATGGCTTAAGCACATAAATAGCATACAGTGAATAATCATTTGTATACAGAAAACAAAACGCTTCAGTATGCCAGACAGCACTCTCATCAGCTTAAATGCTGATTTTGAAATGAACAAGAAATAAGTGATCCAACTTGACCGCCAGACAGCACTCTCATCAGCTTAAATGCTTATTTTGAAATGAACAAGTGATCCAACTTGACCACCTAGATTCTCTCACCATTCAGAAACATACAGATGCATTCTATACAATGTCAGCATATTACACAGACTAGCATTCTCCATAAAGGTGACACCAAAGGGAAGTCCAGACACTCTGCAGATTTTGTAAAGCATCTCCAAAGCCATCTTAAGACTTGAGATTTCAAAAGGCAAAGATTTAATTTGAAAGACACATGAGTATCTTTTTATTCACCTGAGTGAAGGTGTCCAAGAGAGTTTAGCTGCCCTCTACTACAGTACTACTAGTAGTTATCTACAGTGTTGATAACCATTTATTAATAATGATACATAAGGGCCATTTAAAGTCATTTTTTTCTGCCTTGTGATGAAATATTAGCAACAGCGATTTTTAAATCAACTGATTCCTAGAGCTGGCAGTCTAATAAGTCCCTAGTGCCTGCAGAGACCCTCACTGAGAACAGTGCAGCTCAGTGAGAGTGACAGAAACTGGGCCTGGGCTGAAGGCAACTCATCTAAAAAAAAAAAAAAAAGTGTATACTCAAGTATACCTTTAAATACCTTTAACTTCAGTGGAGGTTGTTTAGAAAGAAGGCAACTGTGGAAGTCTCCAGAAGAAGCATTCCTTACCAGAATTTGCTGGAAAAAAAATCCCTTTTCTAACGCACTTTTTAAATATTAAATAAATTTCCTCAAAAGCAGCGCATATACTTCATTACAACAGCTATCAATTTTGAAGCAAATTATTAGAGTCTGTCTTATTTCTTAATTCAGATAATTATGCTGGTTTTATTCTGGCTTTACATTTTTTAAACTATCAACTTTTGTTTGGATTTCATGCAAAACAAATGTACTCCTACATTCTCAAGAGAATTCTCAGGTCTCAGTATCACTCTCCTTTGAAGGGGTTGCATTAAACTGCAAAACGAACCTCAAGCCTAGCTGCTGCAGAATGTAATTGAATGTGTTTAGCAGCTATAACCACTGGACCACTGCCACAAAGTGGTAACATCCCTTGGGACTCACCAGGATTTAGTCCCAGATCTTCCAGTGTTGCTCCCAGCTGGGGAATGGACATGGTAATGCAATGCATCTCCCTGCAACTGCACTTTCATCTCCCAGTGGACATCCTCTCTATGATGCTGCTAAAATATCTGCTACAGGTTCCAAGTAAATGTAAAGAAAACTTCAGCTGGCTCAAATGCTAAGATAAGCTTTTACTCACAGCGGTTGCAGAAACCAAGCTAAAAGTGTAAAAGTGACAGTTCACAGACATCAAGGGAACCAGCTAACAAACATCCCTTGGAGTCATAAAGTAAGTAGCATAAATACATGTAAGTTCTGAAAATAAGTCCTGTTGTATTTCTCCAACACAGTACAGAAGAGCTTCAGATGGATTGGAGAGATTTGTTGCTGTAAGAAACAGGAAAAAAATGCAGAATCTGTGTTTACCTAGGTCCGTGGTTTCTAAGTACCTACTTTTTACTACGTTCATTTCTTGACTCAAATTGAAAATGGGAATTCACCCTTTTCTCTTTTTTTCCTGTCCAATGTGCAGATGGGGCATATTTTCATTCACTCCATCAATCCCTGCCCCCTACGCACAAACTCACATACATGCACCTAGCCAGTGGAAAAGAAAAAAGGGTTACTCATTAATCCATTCTACAAAGCTTTCCAAACTGAAATGGGTGGGTTTTACATCTCCAGCAAGGAGCAATATATAGGTAGGTACAGAGCATACCTGAGCACAGCTGAAACTGAAGTGTTCATCTTGAATAGCAAACTTTGCTCCTGGCACATTTTAAAACAAAACTCATGAGTATGGAGAGGATGATTATTTTCTGTATGCTTTTCTTCTGTTCCAGTATGGCGCTCACTGCAGCTTCACCAAAAACAGTAAAATACAGACAGCTTTTAAAGGCAATTCGACAGTTAGAAATGACTGTGAAAGATAAGGTAAGCAAAGTATTTGTCATAATATCGAAATGGTTTTCAAGCATTATGTATTGCTTAGAATATATCTTGTGAGGGACATCATTTGCAAACGTTAAACTTTTCTAATTTAATTTGTTTTATTGTAGGATGTGGAATTGCTGTATACACCAGAAAACCCTGTGGTGAGACTGCTTTAACATTTCTTTCTAATTATATCAATTTGATTTTGTACTGGTTTATTCCATTGGCAAATGGCAGGTGCCTTCTTTTTCACACCTCTGATCTAGTACTCTTAATGCAAGCCAGACTGAAAAAGAAAATACTTTGATAGAAGTTCCTTATTTCTAGATTTTTAATGGCAGAAATGCTTATATTATGTAATCTTAATTACTACTTTGCTAATGTGTGTCTATTCTAACACACACACACATTCAAATTTGTATTTTTTCTGCTTACTCAAGAAATGGTGCTAAGACTGGGGATTCCTATAAGATCTAGACAATCAGCAGTGTTCTTGGGGGATGCAGGTTTTGGAAGTGCCTCCAGCTGCCATGAGATGCAGCCACACTGGGAGCGTTGCCGAGCCGAACCCAAAAGGAACCCCCTTTCCTCTCACTGCAGCTAATGCCAGGAGCAGCGCTGTAAGGCCATATTACATAATGCCTCCCCTCGTATGTAGCCACACTAGTTTCTCTGAGATTATTTGTGTGCAAGGGTTGTGCTATGAAGGGGAAGACAGAACTGCATTCTGCAAGTATTCTCATTGGATTACAACTATTTAAAATTACAAGAACAGGCCCCTGTGAATCCCTTTTGAATACAGATATTTATTTATACATTATTTAATCATGTTACTTGTGTGTTCCAAGGTCAGGAACTTCTTATAGTAGTAAATTACACTAGAGTCAAAGAACGTGTGTGCATATGCAAAAGTGCCAGGATGCAGAATTTACTGTGAAATTAAATGCTAATAATAATAATAACAACAACATGTCTTAAAAGCTTAGAAGGTAAACACTTCCTACTTGCTTCTGATAATCCCCAATATGCAACAAAGTTCTAGAGCTAGCCATGGCTAATCTAACATTATAGTCCTTTTACTAGCTGTCTTAAATTTACCCATTATGTTGATTTTTGACCCGGAAAACTGTTTCAGAAAGCAAACAATTTTGATCAATGTATAAAAATGATCATTACGCACAGCTTTTTGAAAGATGCCCAGCGTGTAAAGCTACTTACTCAGGACTGTAAACTCCTGAAAAATGACAAGAAAGGAAAAAAACTCACCTCATTTCACATGGGTTTTGTTAGCCTCTTCCTAGCCTTTACAGTTGGGTGCATTTTTTACTTGCCAAAACCAAAAAGAAGCGTGACCAAAACAGATACATTCCATCTCATTGCTAGAAACAACTGCAGCGCGAAAACCTCACGCATCCTAACTAATCGCTGCGTTTTTTTCATTAACACTCTAACTTGTAGTGTCAAAGTGAAAAGAAAGAGATGATTAGCTGTCATTTTACTCTGAAGCAAAGCAAATACAACTAGTGACTAATTGCTTAATCAGTTTGGTGGTTTTTTTTTTTTAATCTCAAAAAACATGATCACCTCAGGAAGGAAGACAAGAGTTCATTTGTAGCTTAGGGCTTTACAGTCTGACTCTGGGAGGTCCCTGTACCTCCGCTGAAAACTAGAGGAGATAGAGAATTCACGTATTTAGAAGGTGCTAAGTTGATACAGGTTCAACCACCAATGAAAAACTTAAAAAAATATATTACTGAGCTAATAATAATCATCACCAGCAACCACATTAACAAACTTTTAATCCTGCAGGGTGAAATTTAGGTTTACTGAATTGTCCAAATAGTAAGATATGAATTGCAGGGTGCCAAAGCTGCACTCAGGGTGATTAGATGCCCTCACACTCTAAAGAAACTGGATTTAATAAAATCTTTCATATAACTCTTTCAAATATGAAAATATTGCTTTGATGATAATCTTCTTATGCCAGATTTACATTTGGCCTTAAATATTCAGGAAGATTACCTTTTGTAACATTCAAAATTCAGTGGTTTATCACTGTATTGACTTCCTTGAACTTCCTGTGAGTAGACTGAACGTTAGCCCCAATTCAATACCCCAGAATTTCCTTGTACACTCAACAAAGAAATATATTAAAAAAAAAAAAGAGGCGGCGAGAAGTTTAAGAGCTTGGAGGACACCAACTCCAGCGTAAAAAATGCAGAGGCTGAAGGAGTAGTCTTAAGGCTGAACTGATTCAAGACCAGAGGGAAAACAAGATCTATTGTTGGCGATTGACACTGCAGCTGAAGCCAGTGACAAAATGCTGATTTACATCGGATCAGCATCTAACCCTGCTGATCACTAATTCAGGAAGTGAAGGCTTTTCAGGCTAATCTGTAAAGTTAGTTTGAGTCAGATGCAGAGTATTGATGCAAATTGCCTCCGACACAAATATTTTCCCGTTTGCCTAGCCCCCTTCAGACATGACCAGTGGTCTATGGTTTTAAATGCCTCTTCATCAAAGTGCTTAACCCATCACAACATACCAAAACCCACAATCCTTGTGGTCCTCTGACTGTTAGCCTGCCTACAGCTAACTGTTAACTCAGCAAAAAAAACCAAAAAGGCAGCATACATGAGAAATGCTGGTTACTCAGCTCATCACGGATGAGGCAGAAAATGTTTTCAGTTTCAGCTGGAAAACTGATCTCTTTAAAAACTAGTGTTTTTTTTCCAGTAAGCAACACTGGTTACGGTAAGAAACTTGTAACAAACATAAATGTGTGGTTTTTAAGGAAAATAAAAGTGTTATATCTAACTAACATAAAATGTTGCTATTAAAATTTGCTATAAGCAACATACACAAAGGCTGCCTTGTCCTTGCCAAAGCAGCAAACTGCAGCAGCATCTAATAAACCAGATGAGATTCAGCTTTGGTAGCAGTTGGTATGCAAAGCAGGGATGATGGCTTTAGAGCCTTTCTAATATGCATAATCAGCAGTTCTAAATGTTTCCTTCTTTGGAAAACAGAAAGCAAGCTAGAAATTGGCTTCAGTAAACGTTGCTTTTCTTTCTCCGTTGACTATAGGTTAGTTTTGGTGGTATTTTCCATAGTTGCGTGCCTAGCAAAGAAAAACAACCACTGCATGGGAAAGGAGATTCTGGAGAGCTTGTAGTCTATCTGTTAGCATCAGTAAAATTAATATACAGCTGCACCATGCAAACTTGGTGCTTTAATTCCAGATAAGCAGCAGCAACAGAAAATTTGTATCATCAGAATAGACGGCGGCTTCTTCAAGTTAGATACAGATGCTTACTGGCCTTGACTTAGGTTTAATGTGCACCTGAATTTAAAGGAATGCAGTAATTCAAGCCAGGAGCCCACCTCCTTATCCCGCCTCTCATCCTCACTCCCTCTTTTCCCTTTAGTAAGGTAACTAACATACTGCATCACCTTCATTTCCCATGCTATCAAGTGAGAACTTTTAAATATTATTTGAAAATATGCAGTCCTATGTCAATTCTAAGTATAATTATTAAGTAGGTAATACTAGAAATGGCATAAAAATTAGGGGAAAAAAAGTATATTCCCACATGTAGCACTGAGGAACAGTCCAGAGTGGTATTCAGAGTTTTTAAAAACGAAAAATCTTATGTCTGTGCTTGTGAAAACCTACTACATGTTACATGATCTACTCCTCAGTAGTATTTTCTTTCAATTGCTGTCATGGTTAATATCCAAGTGGACATTTTAGGCATTTATTTTTTGAGAAAATCAAAGCAATTGTCAAAGAACAGGCAGAGTAAAGGTTAAAGATCTCTTGTGTATCTAAAACTAACTTAAAAAAATACACTTGGATCTTCTTAATTAATATTCTGGATACTTAGTCTTGCACATGGACCACAAACAATGCATGTGGGAAAAAATGCTGCAATGTTAATTTAAAAACTGTTCCTTTTGCTGCCCTAGGATGAATGCCTTTCAACAGCTGTGACCTGCTTCCAGAGTGGCACACTGAAATTACAACCAGAAAACAGCCAAGTAAATTCCACCTTCACCCATGCCGTTAAAGCTTTTAAAAGATTAATCCTCAGCGACTCTGGAAAGGTAGGATTTCCCCACAGTGCTCATAATTGTGATCACTGCTCCTTATTTACTATTGCAGACACCACCTGCAATGGTGGAATTGTAGAAAGCAAACTGATTAGAAAAACTGATCTTTAATTACTTTGGAAATTAAAAATGTCCAATTTTATGCCTTTCCGAGAAAGGCATTCACTCTGATCCTACCAGTCAACTGCATGTATGTACATGGCAACTACGCTATGTGCTGAACAAAAGGACAGGGATTCTTGCAAAACATGTGAATGAAAGGTGCCGTTACTATATTCTTTTCCCTTCTGAAATAGCCCGTGCCTCAGCTTTTCCATTTGCAAAAAGCTTTGATGGCAACTCTTTTGATTTTTCAGTAACAAAGTTTGAATTATTATTTATAATTCTGATGCACTGTTTAGAAGTGGCATGATTTTCTTTATCTTCCAGCGGTGCGAGTCTTCATGTGAATCTTATGAGAAAAAAACTCCCAAAGAGTTTCTGAAGAGCTTTGAAAAACTAATCCAAAAGGTAATCAGAGTTGATTCCTCTTGGGTGCTTTCTGATATTTTGCAAACAATTACAGATGCCATTACTTTACACTATTTCTAACAATGTGTTGTTTTCACAGCTGTTCAAAGACTTGAATAGAACACACCAGAGCTGAAGCCTACTGAAAATCTACTATTTAAAGCAGACACTATGTTATTTAAGACAACATGAAAAATGTAAATACTTTCTAATGCTACTAGGCAGTGCTGTGTGTGTGGTAAGTAAAAGCTTCTCACAAAATATTAAGGAGTCTTACCTGGATGGCTATTCACTTTACGGTGAAAATTAAATTGTAATTTCACAAAAATAAGTTGTCTTATGGGACTTAACCATCACCTTTTGCTGAACTAGAAATACATGAGATGGTTACTCTCATATTTTTGCTTTGATCTTAAATGAATAAAACAAACAAAAAAATTATCAGAGGCTTTGAAACCTCAAAAGGTATCTACTTGGAACAATAATACCACACACACAATTTTATTTATGATTTCTTAGACCGTATCTTAGCTAACTATCAAAAAACACTCTGCATTTAACTCTCTTATAAATACTGGAAAAACATTTACAAGTCACACTCTATGGCATACTGTATCCATATTGAAAATAATGGTGCATTTGCCATTGATTTCAAAAGGGAGAGGAGCGACCCACGTGCTCTAAGTGGAGACACAGGTTTCTGGGGGAAAAAACACATTTCAGACAACAGAATTCCTCCTGGACTCCCTCCATGTGATATGATAGATACAGCAGAGGCATGATGTAATTGGGGACTATCCAGAGTGAAGCAGCTCAAATGCATATTGCTCCTTCTCAGAAGAAAATACTTTACTCATATTCATGTACCATTAACACTATTCCTTCTTTCTACTCTTGCTTCATTTTAAGTTTTAACTGCAATGTTTTCTTTAAAAACTGTCAAGTTTTTTTGTACAGCTTCTGATTCCTGAACATTTCTGTGGAACTATGGCCAGAGATACCACTGAAACTTTTTAAAATAAAATGAGTATCGTAGCACTTAAAAAATAGTTTTTAGCAGCTTAATTATATACCACCATGTTCTGCTTGCAATGATTCTGTACCTCTAGACTCTTTCCTCTGAGAAGTAGCTGTTAATTTACCCTCCAACCAGATATTAGCCCCCCATGAGGAAACTGACCTTGGAAGAGAGTGTAAAGCCTTCCAGTAAAAATCAGCCTTTCATCTGATTTTCTCTCTACTTAGTAGAAATGTGGTATAGAGAGGAAACTGGAAAACTACATCTAGTGTTATGATGGAAAATGACAAGCTTAGTTACCTCCAAAAATAATGAGGTAGTATTAAAAATATTTCCATTCCTACCAATGTCCGCCTAAAGGAAAATTAATACAAAAAGCTTTTTTCCTCCACGTTTTTGCTGTCCTGAAATGTGAACTGCAAAAACATGTCAGAGGAAGAAGGAAGATTTTTCAGGGCAACAATGAACTAAGTTGCTGCAATGAACTCTCCTTGTTTCTGGTGATGACCATTTTGATTTAGATGGGGTTTTTTTCTTTCTTTTTTTTTTTTTTTTTTTGTTTCAAAACCCGCTTTTCCTCTGAGTAATGTTCTATCTCATACCTCAATGTTTCCACACTGCTGCATGAGAATTAACATTCTAAACCTGAACTACCACTGATATGTAAGTAATGAAGCTACTAAATTTGAATGGTGTTCTGCACCTTTTATCCCTCTTTCTCTGACTTTGCTACACATACAATCCCTTAATCACCAATTGGCAAGCAATATGCAAAGCTGCTGCTGCGAGTGCAACGGATTTTAAAGTTAAAGAAGTAGAGAAAGTCAGGATACAACTTAAACTTCAGATTTGCGTAAAAGCAACTGAGAAAATACGAAAGCAATTGCAGAGTACCTGCTGATGTTTCCACAACATTACACTTAAAATTTATGGAGGACCTTAACTGAATGCCTCTATCATGAACTAAGTGCTTTTTCTGGTAAGTCCCCAAAGGCCAACCAATTAAACAGCACTTTTCATTGACTTTTAGGAGCTTTATTTTTGTAGAAAGAATACAGTATGTGTTTTTTGATTTGTAAATGTCTTTTCCAGTAATTCGCTAAGTGCTTTCAAATCAATTTTCTAAGAGTTAAAATCCTTGTTGTGCAGCTGAAATGTGATTAGCATACCCTAACAAAGAGAACATTGTACATTACGTACTTATTAGTATTCATTATAAAGCATTGAGAAGCAACTTTTGTACCCAGGATGGATATTTTATGACAGAAAAGCAATTTCCTATGAGAATGTCATAAGCTAACTAATTACTACTGCCTATACTGGAACAATTTCTGGGTTTTCTATGAGGCAGCAGGTAATACAGTAAGTAATGTAGCTATTTCTGTTTAGTGACTTCCTCCAATGTTCTTAAACTATGGATCTTATCACACCAAGCATAGTGCTAAGGGTTTTCTTTGTTGTTTTAAATGTACTATACTCATTTGTTAATTGAGGCTATTTCTTGTACTTGCAGAACAACTTAATTCAAAACGCTCATTCATATGATTCAAAAAGCTAGTGAGAAACTGTAACAAATGTAACTTAGAGGGCTAATTGTTCTGAGATCTTGGAGAAAACTGTTTTTATTGGACAATCCAGTCCAGATATGTATGAGGAAAATTCATCACAAAATTATCACAGTTGATTTTAGTTAATGCCACGCTTCTGGGCAGTATCAGCACAATCAGTGTTGGGCAACTTTGTACACTTCAAAT